TCAAGGAACCTAGGGAACCGTTAGAAGTACTGCATGATCCCTTGGACCCAGCATGCTACATCATCTTCTTAGTTTCATGATGATTTATTTTTTATTTTTGCTTAAGTTAGTTCAGGTTGGGTTCCTATTATTTACAATCGAAAGAATGTTGAATAATAGTTTTCATATTTTATTTGCATATATTTAGAGAAATAACTGCTGTATTCACACAGTATTCTTCCTTTTTTTTTTTAAAGATAGAAAACAAAGCCTCTACTCTTCATAAATGTCACTCTAGTTGTAGGTGAGGGTAAGACTTACAAATACTAGAACCTTATTTCCTTACCTGAATAAAGAGTTTTTGAGCAAGGGCTAGGTTTACTTTGTCATTTTTTTTTTCTGTACTGAAGATTGACTCCAAAGCAAGTACTCTACCACTAAGCTATATCCTCAGTTGTTTTTATTTTTAATTTTTGAGTTAGGGTCTTACTAAGTTTCCCAGGCTGGCCTGGAACTTGCTACCCTGTTGTCTCAAACTTTTGAGTAGCTGGAGTTAGAGGAATGTGCCATCACATCTCACTCTTTGATCTTTTTTTTAATTGTACTTATATATGTGGTATAGTGTGAAAATTCCATACTTAAATACAATGTATAATGATCAAACAGGGTAATTAACATTTTTGTTTCCATAAACTTTTGCCATTCATTTCTTTGCATGGAACCTTCAAAATCCTCTTTTCTAGCTCTTAGTATTATAAACATATAGTCATTTCTTGTAGATTATAGGTGTCCTACTGTGCTATATAGAATGCTAGAACTTATTCCTCCTATGGAATTGTTATTGGACCATCCTCTACACTTGCTTACCTCCTCTTCCTGTAACCATTACTGTTCTACTCTCTACTTCTATGAAATCAAGTTGTTTAGCATTCACATGTAAGAACATTTCAGAATTTGTCTTTCTGTGCCTGCTTTATTTTACTTAACACAATGGTGGATTCCATTTCCTCACTCCCCATCCTGTCCCACAGGCACACCTGGTTTATTGATTGGCAGATGTTTAAGAAGTATCTGCTCAGTGGCTAAGTAGATGACACCTACTATTATTTTTTGTTATATTTTTTAGGGACTAGTGTTCTGCATACTCTGCTTTTTCTCATTTCCTTTTCCTACCACACAATACCACTGACCTTTTGGAAACTCATTATGTTATTCACTAATGCAGATTCTGCGAACTCAGAATTGTTCATTGTAACAAAATACATTGCAGTCTGCAGAATGAAGAAACTATTTCATAAACACTATCTGAAATTTCCTAAACTCACTTAAAAATCACAAAGCATGGTGACATTCTATTTGATCCATGCCCAAAGCTTTGCTAAACTCACCAAAATACAATAAAAATGTATAGCTGAAATTTTATTTTCTATTTCATGACTTTCCTTATTTCAAAAGCATCTTGGCTGGACTAAGTCAAACATAAGACTATATACTTTGAATGAAGAATGCAGGACAAATAGGGAAGAGCCAGTATTTTGAGAGAGCAGCTGGGAAATTTTTGATTAAGCTATTTTTGCTTCCAAACTAAAATTCCGGTTATAGGATCTGTCACGGATATGCTAACTTTCAATATGTTTAGCTAAACAGAATTCCAACTCTCTTTACTATAGCTGCAAAAAATATTCATGAGATACATAAAAGATCTTAGCTTTTTCTACTTTGCTCTAGTCTTGTATTGATCTGAGGACCTTCAGGTTTGTTTCCCTGCCCCAAAGCCCATCCCTGCCTTTTTCCCCCCTGTTCTCTTGCTTGAGTATTGTTTGATCACCAACACCAAGACAATGAAAATGCATTAATTTAGGCCCTACCTGGGCATGGAAAAGCAACAAGGCTCTGAGTGGAAGAAGAGATCAGTTTTATGCCATGGCATTGGCAATCCTGAATGAATGAGAATGGGCTTAATGTCAGGAGTCTCTTCCTGGCTGCAACAGCTTTTCTGGTTCCAGATAGAGTCTCTGTGGCCAAACAAGGCTTAATAGGCGAAATCAGTGTCTAAATGGTCATCATAGACACATATCATCAAGACCCATGGCCAGAATGGCTGGGTAAACTGTTGGGCAACATCCAGACAGCAAGAGCCTAACAGCAGAGTCCATACTAGTGTAGGCCACTTACAGGGAGGTCTATGCTGAAAATTGCACATTGGAGCCTTTTCCTGCAGAAGCTGCTCTCCTAAAGTATCTATCTTGTGGTCTGGCATTTTCACTTGTACCTGCTCCACTCTCTGGAAATCCTATCTAATTCTTGGCATCTGCACAGAGATTGGAAAAATCCTAAACTTCAAGAAAGAGCAATTTAAATCATTCATTTGCTGAGAAAGGAGTGACAATGATTTTTTTTTCAGTGATTATAAAATCATAGCATGTTATTGTTAAAAGGGACATTAAAAAATCTTTTGACCCAGTCCCTTTAATGTATTTATTGGTCACCCAAAAGGAGGTACTTTGAAAAGGTAAATGACTTTTGTGGTTGAATTATGGTTCACATAACCATTGCCACAGTAACTAAATTGGTGACTTCAATGTACCCGAGGAGGTAAGAAAAATTAGGGGACTAGAAACATCATGTATGTGTTCTTTATATTTATTTGTCTCTTCCATTATAAAACAACTATTTATGAATGTCTAAAAAGAATGACTAGTTATGACTTTTCTGAACATGAATGACTTATGAATATATTTTATAATATACATAATTTATTTTAATGAAGTTCTCAGCATTTATCTTCCTCTTCTTTCTATCTCCATAATAGTGATTATCATGTCACATATTATGTATTTTAATTATTTATTTTGTTTCTAGTTTTTTTACTTTATTTATAGTATATCTGTCTCCCATTAAAATGTAAATTTCACAAGGGCAAGAAATCACTACTTCTATGTGAGGAGCTACCGTGGACCCTACACCAAACCACCATGAAAGACACAATTATTCCCTCTTCTATTTTTCTTGGCCACAACTTATTGTAGAAGTTTATTGGAATTATTTTCTAAGTGTACAGACAAATCACTTAAATGTGATTTTTAGGAAAATCATGTCACTTATCTATGCTTCAGTTTTATGACCAAGGAAACAATGGGATTGAACAAAATAATCCTTATGGTTCTTTCTAGGTGTTATACTTGTTCTCTTTTGTATCTCTAGTTCCTATAATAGAGAAAGTACCTGATAAATGTTTTTATATGAATATATTAGTACAGCAGTATTTGTATATAATGTGCAAATAAATTTACATGTTAGCTGTGGATGCCGAAGAACTGTTTACTCTTATGGGTATATTACTATATCCTCTGAGGCAATTTTTAAAATCGCATGTCTGTCAGGGAACAGGTTAACACAAAGACCAAGTAGGATACTAGTTAAGAAGGCTTAAAATATAGCAGCTTCTATGCAGTGAGGACTATAACTCATCTAGAAGGGACTTAATTCTAGGGATTTGCTTGAATGGCATATTTTAGTCATATCAAACCAGGACAAGTAGATTCTTGGGTTTAGAGTAGTGACTGAATTCATGGTTTCTATTGCTTAAGTATACTTAACTGGTTAAAAATAAAAATAAACATATTAACAATAAAAACAAATAAAAGCCACAACAAAAAAAAAAATGTGAGTTCTTTTCAGCAGTGAAGGGGCAAATTTTTGCTCCTAGAATTCAACATTAGGAAGAGCTAAAAAGGAGGTCAGGAATTGCCCCAAACAAGGTCCAGTGTCAGGGAAGAGCAATGAGGTCCTTCAAATAAGATTCTCTGGAGAATACTAGGCTCTAGGTAGGTGATGTGGCTCTAAAATGCCTAAGTTTCAGGGGTAGAGCAGAGATGGCTGTATATGGTCTCTTTTTGTGTAAGGCCAGATGTTCTGCAGCACCCAGCCACACTGGCTTTCAGTTTTGATGTTGTGACTGGGAGAGCAAGGAATGAGCAGTGTGTTTGACCTCAAACCCGCTGCTGTGTGGGTTTCTGAACTTGGCATTCTCTCAGAGTTCATATACACTTACAGAAATAAGCAGGACTCAGCTGCAAAAGTAATTCTACATGACAGGGAGAAACATTAGCTTTGCCCAGCTGACCAAAAGCCCAATGTGTGTGTGTCCCACATTAGAAGAGCATAAACTTTCTCTGTGATTAAGTCTTTATAGACTTAATTTGAAAGTCAGGGAGGAAGAATCTAAGTGTGGGGTGTGGAGGTCTGGGTGGGTTGCTCAAGTGATTAACTGAAAAAAAGAACAGGATATTGCAATAGTTGTATTCTGTGTGGTTTAGGGATTGTTTCTGATCACATAGTCTTTTTTTGCATATATGAACATTCAAAATCACATTAGAGGTGATTTCCCTTCACCCTTGTCTCAGAGCCATCAGATGCTTTGAGGAAGGCAGGTGAGTAGTCAAAGCCTGAATTCTGAGATGAGGAAGTGGGGAATGAGACATATTGTCAGCTTATTGGCATTGTTGGGATACCTACATCTTCTGATCACTGTTCCTGTCACTATGGACAGGTCCTAGAACAGATTGCACAAATGATCATCTATCTCAAAAGAGCCTTACTAGATGGTGTATCTATAAGGCATTGAAAGCATTCATTCTTTTTCTTCTAAGTGGTAGCTAGCCTAAATTTATGTGCGTTTGACAGTTGTTCATTGAATTTTCTATGGAAAAAATGAAAAGTAAACATTATTTTTTCTTTTGTTTTACTTGTAGGTCAAGGCCAGTTCATTAGCACAGTCTTGCTTCAATAGAACAATGATTAAGAAATGGATAAGATACTCACAGGGCAAAGCCCATCAGCTGACCCCAGGGTCCAAAATCAGCTGAAGGTTAAGGGTTCCTCACTTCTCAAACCCAGCCTCTGGCACTGAGCAACTCACAGGAAGATAGGGCTAATCCGTGTGAGGATAAAAGGTGTATTTCTCCCCCAAGGCTTAAGTGTTTATTTTCACAAAATGACTGAAGTCTCCATGTACTTACATCTTGGTTAGACATTTCCCAATAAGGTCTCTCTCCATAGGACATGACCTCCCACATGACGATGCCGTAGCTCCATGCATCACTTGCAGAGGAGAATTTTCTATAGGCAATAGCTTCTGGGGCCGTCCACCTTATAGGAATTTTCCCACCCTGAAAAGGAAAGTGAAGATTTTTTCAGCTGGCCCACAAGTGAAATAAGAAACAAAATGGTGCTTCAATTAAATGTCTTTTGTTAGAAAGATCTAAATACTTTATAGTAATATTAGTGTTTTAAATTAAAATCAAAAGAAATACAGAGGTCTGGGGTTGTGGCTCAGTGGTAGAGTGCTTGCCTAGCATGTGTGAGGCACTGGGTTTGATTTTCAGCATTGTGTATAAGTAATAAAATAAAGAAAGGTCCATTGACATCTAAAAAGTATTTAAAAAAGAAAGCCAGAATTATGTTAAAATGTCAGAAATATTTTCCCTTAGTAGTTATTCGGTAAAAAAAGGAAAAAAAACCAGTTTTAATAGGAAAAAGTTACACTTCAGAAATATTTTATTTCATTTATTAGTTAAATTTATTTTTAACTTAGATTCACATAATTAAGCCCACTATTATGCCACTTGAAGAGAGTTCCAGATTATAGAACATTAAAACTAAATTTAATTGAACACTCATTAAACATTGTATTGCATTTATAAATAATAATGATGATAAAGCTCTAATTTAATTGAAGACAAGTAGTTAAACACAGAGCTGTGACATTCTGCACCAACCCCATGTTTACCAAAATTTTATTTCCTTTTCTTTTTGTTGGCTATTACATTTATTTAGAAATGTTCTTTAACTCTATACCAGAGCACCTGAGAAGAATAATATTTTTTTGAATGCTGTAGGTTACTTTATATTTTCTTTCTTCAGTGTTCTAGTTAACATTTGAACATATTTAAAGAGATTAAATGGCATGAATTCAATCTATACTGCTCAAGTATTAAAGCCCATCATTCTGTTATACTTAACTTTTATTAACATTTATTACATTTTATCTGTTGAAACACTCTATAAACCCCTTTATACTGTAATGACAAGAATAAAACAATTCATTCATTTGATTTACAATCTTTAAAATTTCTGCCCCTCTGAATTGTCAGGATGAGCAGCTGCAGGCAACCGGGATGCCACTAGATGGAGCTAGAGAACAAGGAGTGGCTCCCAGACTGCTCTCAAATAGTGGAGATGGCTTCCATTGAGGGCAAAATTATCTTCATCTTAAGAACCCACTACAATGGGATTGTTCCAACATCAGCATTTTCATGATAACAGCAGGTGATCACCCACTGTGTGCAAAGTCTGGTGTTTCAAGTAGTAAGGGTGAAAAGAAAGGAAGAATGTGTTTCTGGCCCTTGAGGAATTTAGATTAAAGCTGAATTTATTAACTGAATAATAATCTAATCATGACTTATTTAGTAATCTAAACAGTACATACTTGAAGAGTAAAAGAATTCACGCAAAATAGGAACAATTTATGTTTCACAAGGCAAATTAGAGAATTAATGGAACTCTCATTTCAAAGACTCAAACCATAAAATTGTTAGAACCTTCGGGGAAATAACTTCAGCTGGTTTCCTTGGTTTTAAAAGTGAGCAAACAGAGTTCAGAGATTAGAGATTGAGAGGTTTAGAGATTCCTCACTATCTTATTAGGAACCTAAAGTTCTACCAGTGCTTTCAAAACAGAATTATGGGACATTGATTTACAGAAGTTAATACTTCAGCATGGGGGGAAAGTTGGACACAAATAACTTCAGTGTTTTAACACAGATGGTTATTACCACATATCATGACAAAATAATGGAAGAAATCCTGAGGCCTGGAGTTTTCATGTTTTGGGGCAGAAGTTAAAAGTAGTACCAAATTAGACCAGAATATTAAATTTACAAAATTGATGATAGCAGCTGGTGGGCAGGGAAGTGCAAGGAGATAGGATTTATTCTTTTAAAGTAGGGTTGCCAGAGAAGATACAGGTCCAGTAGTTAAATCTGAGTTTTGGACAAATAACAACTTTTTTTAAGGATAAGTATATCCCATGAAGAATGTTTTTGTGCGTGACCCAAATATTAAATGAGATCTGTATATACTAAAAATATTCACCATTTATCTGGAATTCTAATTTAAATGGATATCCTATATTTTTATCTGCTAAATACAGGAATACTAATCTAAGACACTAAATCAGAAATGGAAACAGTGTTAACATTCCATTAACTGAACATAAAGTGGTGTTCTGAGAAAACTGGTATAATCTTTATGATTATGATTGAGGGACAAAGGTACTCTAACTTGTATTTGTTTATTAATACTATAGCATTCTTTGCTTTTTGTATGTTTGGGGCTAAAGTGCCTCAGTTTTGTGGCTCTGAACATTGAGTAAAACTCATGCTTGTTTCAAGTATGGAAGCCACGCATTCAGAGAATAAAGACAGTATCTGTAGATTTGACATTACAACAGCAGAGCAGTAGTCTCATCTAGCATTTCTGACTCTAGATCTTTCTTTGTTCTGGCAAACAATATGTGGAACTGTTAATCTGCCTGGATGAATGACAATTATAGTCTGCCTGAGTGTTCCTTTGCAAAATCTTTGTAAGTTAAGACAGTCCCTCCCAACACACACACACACACACACACACACACACACACACACACACACAGAGTTAATGGTTATTTTATGGTCATTTACTCATTCATTTTTATAAATAATGTCTCACATCTTATATTAGTGATTCACACATTTATATTTCAAATGACAATATCACACATAAATGATAACTTTATCACTTTCCTTCATAAGATTTTATTTTACCCTCAAGGGGAAGCTAGTTCATAACATTTGATAAATAGCATCACTACCTATCATGAACTGAACTGCATTCCCTTAAAATTCATATGCTGAAGCTCTAAGCCCCAATGTGGCTATATTTAAAGGCAGGATTTTTAAAAGGGTAATTAAGGTTAAATGAAGTCATAAGGGTATGACTGTCCTCCAAATGACTGGTGGTATCCTAATAAGAAGATGAAGAGCCCCCAGAGGCATAGCAGGCACAGGGAAAAGGCCATATGAGGACATCCTCGAGAAGCAGTCAGCCATCTGTGAGCCAAAAAGGGAGTCCTCAGGAGGAGCCAAACTTGCTGATACCTTGATCTTGGACTCTAGCCTCCAGAACTGTGAGGAATAAATTTCTTTTGCTTAGATCACCCAGTCTGTGGTATTTTCTCATAGCAATACCAGCAGACTAATTAATACTCTGCCACAGTCAAAAACTAACATTTTTTTCAAAGTATTTGTTAAAATTAACACTATTGCAAATTGAACAGTACATCTTTATTTCAAATTCTATTACAAGTGTTATCTTGAAGTGAAAGTGTTAGCTAGAAAAAAAATCTTAAAATTTGAAAAAAAAAGGAGTAAAAGTTTAGGGTACAAAACACAATGCAAAATAACAAAAATGCATTATAAAGTGAACCTGATAGTATGCACAGAATGGAAAAATTCTGAACACATATGTAAGAGAGGTAAGGAAGCATTCAAATCATTTTTTCCACTGGGATGATATGTGTTAGATATAGTTTAGTTCTAATTGCAATATGAGAAAGCAAGAAAGAGGCCTTTAAATACTCTTGCCTGGTCTCTATTTCCTGCAGTAGAGAAATAGAAGCCAAGTTCATTTAAAAAAAATAGTATAGAACAATTTAAATGTTTGTGGCTTAATCTTGCTTACTGTTTTCACCCAGATCTTGAATTATAAAGGGAATGCACTAAGGTGCTTTTTATTTTTTCCTCAAAACATTAACCACCAGGTGTTTGTTTCAGGTTTCAGAAATGAACAAATAATACTTTAGATTTGAAATCCCAATCACTGGAACATTATTCCTTGCTTTACCATATGTTTATGAAAGATAAAAAGTTACCAAAGATGCTGATCAAAATGACTGAATGTAACTCAAAAGCATTTCCATTTAATAATTCCTTTTTATGTAGCAAGCTTCCTCACTTAGGGAAAAAAAGGAGAAACAGGAAATAAGCAAACTAGATGGCAACTGAAACTGTTGCTAGTAAACATTTCCCCCCACATTCCAAGTCATACTCAGAGCTTGTTATCTAATACACAGGTGGTGGGTGGTAGGTGAAAAAGCACTAAGGAGAGAACCAGGAATTCTGTATACCTGTACACAACATCCTTGTCTACACTAAAGCTCCGGTGTGGAGTTGTCTCCTACGTTCATTTAACTTCTGAGTTTTAGAATTTAATGCTCTAATCTTCAGAGGAGTGACCGGTCAATTGACATGCAGTAAAGTTATAGAGGCGAAATACTGAAACCCAAAGAGAGATTCCATAGAGAAGCAAACACTTTCATAAAGTCCCTCTCCATTTCACACTCATTGGATTTCACTGTTTATCTTTAAAGGAAAATGGTTTGAATAGACAATAAAAATAGCCATCAGATTTTCCATTTCTTATGTCCTCAATCGATAGCTGAGGTATTCAAACTTCAGTGAGAATAAGAATTATGGCACAGAAAACGTATCTATTATGCTTAAAGGATAATTTAAAGAATTTGTAGTGGCAATTTTGACTAAACAATATTATTTTTTATGAACTGCAAATTCCAAGTGAGATGCAACTCTACTGCAATTCATCATGTGACTGTGAGCAAGTCTTAACCTTCCAAACTTACATTTCAGAGATGCAAAATGAGGGGATTTGAATTAATGGTTATAAAATAGTAAGCCATAATGATTTTTATTTTTAAACATTTGTGCATGGTCTCTCAGCTTCCAATAGATTGTAATAAGATAGATCAAAAGCACTGGTACCAAGACTGTGTGAGCAGACAGGCTCATGGCAGACAAAAGAGGGGACAAGTACATTTTTGGGCCGGTCCTAGGCCAAAATTCAAAGGTCACAGTAATCATTCTAGATGGCAAGTAAAAGGTAAAGTAACTTTATATTTCTTGTTTAAAAAGGTAACAGTGTGGACAAGTAAGATCTTAGGATGGTATGACATCAAGACACGGATTTTCTGTTCTTTTTGCTTTTTAACTCTTAATGGATAACCACCGGTTATTTGGAGCAATCATATGAAGTCTTATCAGTGTCGGAAGATAATA